TATATTTGTGTCATCTAATCTAAATCTTACATTATTAAAGTGTTGCTAAAGTACCCAAACGTTTGACAATTTTCCGGGGACACGCCTTGTCCGATGTGCTATCGGAGAGGCCAAGGTTCGCGCCGGAGGAGTACAGGATTTTCAGCTAGGCGCCGATGGTGCCTTGGAGTTCAGAGGCAGGATCCTGGTCCCGAAGGCCGAGGCATTGCGGAAGGAGATTCTATCAGAGGCACATACCGCACCTTACTTGGCCCATCCAGGGAGCACGAAGATGTACCACGACCTGAAGGGGTCGTTTTGGTGGAGAGGTATGAAAAAGGACGTCGCAGAGTTCGTTAGGCGGTGTCTTACCTGTCAACAAGTCAAGGCCGAGCATCAGAGTCCAATTGGCCTCCTACAGCCACTGCCGATTCCTAGGTGGAAGTGGGAAGAAGTCACTATGGATTTCGTTACGGGATTGCAAAATCGAACATGGGCTCACGACGTAATGTGGCTAGCAAAAGAGGTAAATACTAAAATTGAGGAGGTGAAGAGGAAGAAGACATATTCAAGAATTAAACTTTTATAGAAAAGAAAAAGATGATATTGGGCGCGCGCACACGCATTGCACATGTGTGGGTTTCTCTAAGCTCAGCTCAGCTGTACCCAAATTGGTAGGCTACTGATGTGGATGACTGTGAAAGTGCGACATCGGGGATTATGATTTATGACCTTTAAGGTCGGGGAAAAGCAAATCTCATTGCCATTCTTTTTTGTTCTTTTTTTTTTTTGAAAAGCAAAAAATATTTCAAAAAGTAAAAAATATATATAGGGGCTGGTCAACTAGGTTCACCCAGTCGGGTTATTCTCCCTGGTCAAGGTCGGGTTTTGACCGGGTCCTTTGTTGCTCGGTCCGATGTAATTCTCTCGTGTATGTAGTAGAGAAAAATCGGCCAAGGCACACGCGTAGGATAGGTTGGGACATGGTGTATTTATAGGCTCCATTAGGGGGATGAGGATGAGGAAGAAGAGAATGAGAACGAGTCAAAGAAAGAAGAAGAGGAGAAAGAAGAGAAGGAAGAAGAGGAAAAGAAGGATGAGGAGGAGGAAGAAGAGAAAGAGAAGGGGGCTAAGAAAGAAGAGTTTTTCCTTGGGCCACCTTGGTTATAAGTATTTTGGCCCAATTTCAAATCCTTGAGCCCAATTTAATTGTTTTAAATGGCCCAATGCAAAGTAAATTGACATCGTTCAATTGAGCACAAGAGGTATTAATTTATAAAATTAATTTTATTTATAAAACATATTTTCAAAATACGTTTTACATTGTAAAACATATTCTCGTAGTATGAGCTTTTGATTTTGGTTCATATTTTTTTTGTCCACTTATTTTTTTTTATTTAAATAAAAAAAAATCAATTTTAGAATCTATAAAAAAATGAAATTTGCAAATTGGAAAAATAAAGCAAAATCTTTTTTAAAACGGTAAAACCCAATTGTCAGTGACAATAAATGATGTGAAATGATCAATTTACTCTTGATTTATTTTGTCAAATTAGGAAATAGACATTAAAAGATGCAACAACTAAGGTGAAAATAAGAAAAATGAATTTCCTAATGGTAGTTGCTGATATCTGAATCGGACCGAGAGAGATCTAAAGACAAAAAGCGTCAGCAAGGCGTCTGACATAATAACTTATCAGATAAGAGAAGTTCAACAGTTTGAATATCGATGGCCTCGAAGCCAGGTTGACATCTGGGTGACAGGAGGATCGGGCTTAGCTAAGAGCAGAGTTACTATGAATAATGGCGTAGAACACATTCCCAGGTCGGCACCTCGGCACGAGGTCGACACCTCGGCACGAGGTCGACCTCGGAAGTGCATAATACATAAAAGGGCCCATAAGGCCAAAAGATGATGAAAGCTAAAGTTGTGGGGAAAGTGCGGTCTAGAGAACCATGAAGACCGGACCCTGGCACGAACTTCGGACATGGGAATAATAAAATGTTGCAACTTGTTGGTCGGTGTAGTTTGCGAGCTTTGTTATTCTAGCGTTGTTAGGTGTTAGGCTTTAGGTGATCTTTGGATCTGCCTCCCAGTTTTTCCAGTCTTCGGTTGTACTATTCAGCCTTTGGCTGCTTCTTTTCGCACGTTGTGCGGTTTTTATTAATATAGTGCCTCTATCGTTTTGGGAAAAAAAAAAGAAGTCGAGTGATGATTGTCACTGGGACATATGATAGTAGGGCGGCCTGTTGGCAATAATTGTATCTATACGTACGCATTTAATGCATGATAGGCAATCATTAGTTCAACCTCAAATCTCATTTAATGCCCGTCAGAATGGTATTAGATGCTTGTAATGTCCTTTTATAGTTCTGTACGAAGTGACGGAATGAACATTACATGAACAGTATTTGGTTTCTAATATTATAGATAGGTCTCCACCCTTATTGCGGATAGGTAGAAGAAATCTATCATGTTTAGATAGATTATTTATTCTAAACATTTAGAAAAGAAAAACGAACGAATCGGCCCAACCCATATATTAGTTTGATTAGTTGTTTGAGCTCGGCTCGTTTAATAGACAAGTGAATCGAGCTCAAACTTACGCGAGTCAAACCTAACTAGTACAACACACGTGTATTACACGAGTACTTGTTAAAAAAATTATTCTAAAATTTTAAAATTAATGAAAATAATTATTTTAAATTTTAATTACTTTTTACAAATTATATATATTATTATATATCTTAAAATGACACTTGTTAGTTATGCGATTACATTTGTTATATTATATTAATTTTTATAATATATTTCATATAACTACTTGAAATATAAATATTAATTGATAAATAATTTTATTTTTTCTAATTAATATTAAAAATTAGTTTTATTATTGTTATAAAGATAAATATAATATAATTTATTTTTTTATACATACAATATGGATGTTAAGTCGAAGCTCATCAAGAGATGATTAATTTGATATATTATATATGTAAAACCGCAAAAAATCATAGGCCTTCTCCAGGTCCACCGATAAAAAATACAAAGGTTATTAACATTTAAAATACACTTACAATTGAATCTATACTTATATAATAAGTCATCTCATTTACTAAAATTAGTAGATAGAAAAGTTAAATGACAATTAATGCATTCTATTTCCATCAATATTTTTTATTTAATTACTTATTACTTATTTCTCATAATAAGATCGGTACAAATATATATATATATATATATATATATATACATTAAACCAATAAAAAAATAGTTTTGATCTGTCAACAAAAAACCTTCTTCCAAAATTAAATCAGATTTCACGCCCAAATTGAAGTGTTTTGTTGTATGGAAATCTTTTTTAATGCTATTGTACAAAAAATTTTATCTGATTGTATTGAAAATATGATATGATTTGTTCATCTATATATAATGCGATAATGCAATTATATTGCGATATAAATTTGATTGATTTGTTCCTTCATATAATGATCGGATATGATTTTCTTCACATTATCTCTAATATAATGCGATAATGCACTTATAAATTATAAATCTCCAAATATTGAATCAGCGTGTTCCTCACTTTTAACCTCATGTGGAAAAAAAAAATAAAAATCCCCAATCAGTGTGTCATTTATAACAATGAATCAAGGATTTAGCTTAATCAAACAAGTTAATAGGTCTAATAGACATATGCTTAAAGTTCGAATTATAAGAATATTTTTCCAAGACTGGGGCAACACATACAAATCCTATCTCGAGTTGGTTCTTCATGATAAAATGGTAAGCCAAATTATTTTACTTTTTTTTTTCAAAATATCAAACATATATTTTCGTGTATATATAATATACATTTTTCATATTTTTAAAACAATTTACTTTTTCATTGTTTGCTTTTTTGTATATGTTTAGGGAAATCACATTACGACATGGCTACAGGCAAGCCAGTCAATCAACTTGGCTGCGTTTAGAGAGATGAATTTTGAGGAGGGCATGGTCATTTGTATAAAAAATTATCAAGTGGACAATAATATAAGGAAGTATCGTTCGACATCCGGTGATTTTAAGATCATGATGTACTATGTTTACAAAGTGCAATGAAGAATTTTCAGTATTTCGATTTCAGTTCAAAGACTTTGCAACTCTATAAGATGTCATCAAAATCAATGAAGTGTTATTCGGTAAGATTATTTTATGTTGTTTCTAATTTTATTTTTTTATTTCAAAGTAATTAAATTATAACATATTGGTTTTTTTATTGTAGATCTAATAGATTAGTTGTTGACATTCAAAGTGTGCAAGAGAAAGCAAATAAAAATTAGGCGATACCCAAATGGTTGCATTCATTCTTATGGATCTAAAATAAGTTTTTTTTTTTCTTTATTCATGTATATAATAATAAGTCTCTCTAAATAGCCTTAAAATTGTGCACCCCGTGTATCGCACGAGCTCTACACTAGTGGTTATAAATAAGAAATGATGTCAAAATATATTTAATACATGTAACATGACCATATATAATCAACATATTTATGGATAAAAATAAGAAATGATGTTAAAATATATTTAATACATGTAACATGACCATATATAATCAACATATTCATGAATAATCCGAACCTAATTATTTTTCGATTGGAACTAAATTAAAATCTACCCAAGCCTAATAACGAAACATGTAATTTTGCCACATAGATTCTGAAACATTCGATCATGCCACTTAGACTCAATCGATTTCGAATTAATATATATGAAGATTGTGTTTCAAATATTATTAGTAGTGTAAACATTGGGATATATTTAACTTCAAATAATCTTACTTTGGACCCCAAAGAAAACAGAAGGGGGTTTTAAAAGAATTACAGACTACACGCGACCCTTGATAGTAAATTACGAAAGAGATGCCTGAGCAGAACTGAGCTCCTCCACCCCCTCTTTGGCCGCTAGGTTTTCACAAACCTCTTTGGACTCGAAAACAGTACAGACATTCGAGCCAAGAAAGAAGTAAAACAGAAGAATGGACTCATTTTCATCGCCATCGAGTGCTTCATCTCCACAAATGTCACCTGAGTACTTGATGAACCAGGTCAAAACCGAGCTTGCACAAGTTTATGCAGAGGAGTTCCTCGAGGTGCTGCCAAATTGTGCTCTCTTTTTTTTTCTCTCTTTTTTATTTTACATTTTTGCTTTTTCTTGTTCGTTTTTTGTCGCCCCTCTTTTCAGTTGTTTCTGTTTCAATGGAGGAACTCAGTTTTTTTGTCTATGCAGGGATGTTTCTGGGCAGTTTTGTTATGGAGCCATTGGATGATGGCTCGATTATGGAGTCATCCACCCTTATTCACCAACAGTGTGACACGTGTTCTACAATAAATACATTTTGGATAGATGTCAATACATAAAGTCGTTGATGACTCCATAAGAAAATCATCCGATGGCTCCATAGAATTTTTGGTTTCTGGGTAGTTCATTTTCTTTTACTATGAAGTTGTTGCCATTTATGGCTGTGAGTAGGAGTAGATGTGCAGTTTTCTTACATTTGGAGAAATTGTTTCTTGCATTTTGGATTTTTGCAGTGTATTTCTTACAAAAATCAGCAGGGAAGTGAATTAGAACTTTTGAAACACATTATAGGAAATTTAGAGTTTTTTTCTCAGTGGTGATAATGGGAAACAATTGGTTGTTTAAAAAGATCGAATCTTTTTATTCGTTACTCTGTAGGTATGCACATATTTGAGGTGATTAATGTTTGTGGATAAAGATGCTGTCTTTGCACTGATGTTTTTGCTCGGCCCATTTCGTGGAATAAGTCTATTGGTTATTTGCAGTTAGGAAAATTGTCAAAGGAAGCAAGGAAATCCATTTGCTGTTTATTGTTCTTTCAGATTGTTTATATCTGTAGATGGAGAGGGTTATTTGCATAATGCCTACTGAGTGCGATGATCGAATCTTTTTATTAGTTATACGGTAGGTATGCCCATATTTGAGCTGATTAATGTTTTTGGATAAAGGTGCTCTCTTTGCACTGATGTTTTTGCTCGGCCCATTTCGTGGAAGAAGTCTATTGGTTATTTGCAGTTAGGAAAACTGTCGAAGGAAGCAAGGAAAACCATTTGTTGTTTATTGCTCTTTTAGATTGTTTATATACATCTGTAGATGGAGAGTGTGCTTTTTTGCATGATGCCTACTGGGTATTTATTGTTTTGTTTAATTTTTATCGTTTAATTATGGTGCAGACTGTAAGAGGCAAGTGCTTTGACAAGTGTATAACAAAACCAGGTAATAGCTTGAGTGGGAGTGAGTCTAGCTGCATCTCCAGATGTGTCGAGCGTTACATTGAGGCCACTGGCATTGTTGCTAAAGCTCTATTTACCCAACGTTGAGAGCTACTTAAACCATTAAGTCTATGGTCATGATTGCTCTTAGAACTTGTGTACGCTTGACATTAATTTCGTTATTTATCCTAATGTTAGAATTGAAATTCTTCTTCTTGCACTGTTTTTTGATTGCTTACATTATGGGGTTTCTCTAAGGTTTATCTGAAGATTAATTTAATCATTAATAATCTTTTCTTTTTTTTTTTCCCCAAAGTGAATCTTTGTTCTTGTGTTAATCGTTATTATCTCCGCTGTTCTCTTTTTTTCTGATTTCTTTGCATGATATTTGATTATTTATTTTCTCTGCATAAGTTGTCTCGTAGATATTATGTTTATTTTGGGATGTTCAATATGGTTCAATTCAAAAGACCATTTGTTTTGCATTTGCCTTTTTCGATTCATCAAAGTACATTATGCTCCCATTAGTCCATTACAAAAACATGGCATATTGAGGTGCTAGCAAGAAAGTAATCCTTTTATTTATTTATTTTGCCTTTTCTATTTCTGAATTTCTGTTTGGCTATCGACAGATTGTACACACTATAAAAGTGCTGCACAGCTATAGCCAATACCAAGAAGTGTTGCAATTGCAATTATTGCACAAAAAAAGTTTGCCAAGGTTTCTCTTTGCTCGTTCCTCCGTTTCAGTTCCATTTTCCTTTCGGAAAATTCTTGGTATTTTGACTCCACGATGCGGTGATTTACACTGCGCGAGCAAGCGAAAGCTTGCTTCATAGCCCTCATACTCTGCTCCCCATTTAGTTGTGAGCCATCAAAATCTTTAATCACTAGGCTAATCTCTTTCCACCTTATTACTATGCACCCTTTTTCAATCAAAACTCTGCATTTAACCGTTATCACAAACTCCACCGAACATGTTAATAATTCATTGCTGTCCATGTTCACTACACACCCAAAAGAAATTACATAGAGCTTATTATCGGAAGAGTTGAACTTGTGAATCATCGTAGGCCTCCAGCTCGAGATATTCGAGGACTTTCCTTTTCTCACATCGAACAAAATCCAGCTTAATCTTAGGTTCTCGACACATTTATCCTCATGATTTAGGTAGTTTGTCGAAGGTATCTTTGTCGTAAGTATGTTTTCTCCAAGTACTTCTAGTTTGAAGGGATAATAACATAGTAACATTTCGAAATTATTATTATTTTCGTGATGTACAACTTTGGAGAAAATGCATGGACCCTCGTGATATATGTCGATGAATGAGATAAAATCTGATGGGGAAAAATTCGTGGAGTCGAGTGAAACTACTCTTCTCGGCAAACCCGTTTTTACGCCGTGTAGGATCAATGGAAAGGCATCGGCGTACAAACACTTGAAACCTTGGTTTTCACGAAACGGGATTTGTGTGTTTGAGGTTGAGGGCCAAGTTTCATGGCATAGCTTTTGCCATAATCGCTCGTTTTTCGAAGCCAACCGGAGATCGGTGCCGGAAGAAGCAGCAGCCGCCAGGGTGGGCCCATCGAGTCGTGACATTATATCTAAGATGAGATCTTGAGGTAAGGACTTGAAGTGATTGGTGTTCGAGTCCATGTTATAAAGACTCGAGTCGAGTGAAATAGTCGAAAGAAAATACGTGTTCATTTGTGATTTGGTGTGGTTATGTTTTTATAGTGCATGCAAAAAGTTAGGTTAAAGGGTGTGCAGGTAAACTGTGTCTAGGTTAGAAGTTTGGTACATACTATTAGTCATAGTTTATTAAAATTTTCCATTGGAATTGGACTTGCATTAATTCGGAAATAGGGTCAATTAAAAAATTGGATGAGTGAATCTATAATTCAGAAATTGCATATATATTACCTAGTAATAAATTTTAAAATTAAGGTGATGTATTGTTTGTATGTGAATTTTGCACTTGAAATGAACCAAAATAAATAAATAAAATCTATTGTGCTTTGGATTTTTTTTTTTTTTTTT